TTATATGCTTCGAAATCCAAGTTTCCCAGAAGCAAAATTGCTGCCAAGATTTGCCATAACTTAAGATTCAAATACATCAGTTTCAAATAAAAGATAATGGAAAAAAAACGTGAGTCCAAATAGGTGTATCCTAACCTGTTCACAAACCTTCGGCTCAAAAGAACTGATCGACTTTAGTGCTTTTGTTACTTCTTCATAATCCTTAGTGTCGTCAATGGAAGTCACCTAAGACAAACAATAATCAACAAAAATATCTTAAAAGTTTTTTCACCAGAGCAACAAAATCATCTCAGCCAGCTAAACCTATTTCAATAATGGTCAACAAATAATGTATTTCACCTTTTCTGAATGTCCTTGATTCAAATAATAGTACATTTTAGGATCATGAGATAAACCATAATTTTTCAACTTCCCTTTGTCCATGCCGGCTAAAAGCTGGTAAAAAGAGTGAAAATTACGTTCACCAGATTGTTGCCTAACCACACGTGACTAGAACCAATACATTAAGGTATGGTATTGCAAGCGGCACAAATGTTTAAAGAAATTATCGAATTGTAATTTCAAATTGGTTTAGCGTTTTGGCAGTAAACTACTTTTCAAGCTGTTTTACCTTTTCCAGAAGATAATTGCTGATATGCCCACCGACCGGATCCCCGCCATAATTGAAGTTAATATGCATATACTTCCCAAAACGACTCGAATTGTCATTTCTATTAGTTTTCGCGCACCCAAAAGATTCCAGAATGCAGGTTGAACGAATCAATATGTCTTTAATCCTAAATTAACTAAGCGATAACGAAAAGAAATAAAAAAAAGAAAATTTGACGCTGGACTACCAGCATAACATCCAAATAGTGAAGTAGAATGTTTCAAAATCACGTTCTATTCCATAAAATGTGAACTAAAATTACAAAGAAGTTATTAAAACACCACAGTGAGAGGAATGAACAAATAGAATAACCTGCTATAAAAACTTACACTTCCGTGAATTAAAAGAGCAGAAATGAAAAAATTTGATAATAATTGTAAAAGCAGATATTATTTCAATTCACCAGAAATTTTCTAAAAGAGTAGTGAAATCTGCTCATCAACAATTAAAAAATTTTTGTAATGAATGAATTCAAAGCACAGAAATTGAGAGATAGAAGAAACAATGTCATCAAGCACAATATCGTTTTCCAAAGATAATAGATTGATAATTAATTAATCTGCAAAAATATGTTTTTAAGGATTTGCCACTAAAAGCAAACTTAGCAATGATGCGTTCTTCTTTTTCCATAACAGCAGAGATACGTTTCCTAAATCCAGAAAAATCTTTAAGAAACTATTTCTAAGCCACTTGTAAAATCACATCTTTTGGCAAAGAAATTTTTTAAACAAGAATTGCCAGACCAGTACTGAGTAGTAAATCAGTTCTTGTAATGCTTCACATAAAAAACATCTTATCAAAAACCTTTCCGCTTAACAAAGAGAAATTAGACCCTATCATAAAATACCTGTAATTATATTCACTTTTCAAAATGTTTTTAAAAAACCCTTTGGTCACTATAAAAAGGTAGGTAAATCACAGCAGAGGCACATCTTCAACTGATATTCTACATCGTATTTGCTTCTAATTACGAAATTGACTGAAAAAGCTTACAAATAGAACAGGCTTTACGGAAGTTTCAACTAATATAAACATTTCAACAAGTAATTGTTTAACGTACTTTTCAATCTCGCTCTTCCTCGGTAGATTAGTTATCGCAGCTAAATACCTCATAATAATTTTGCTTGTTTCAGTTTTTCCAGAGCCAGATTCACCTAAAGTTGAAAATAAATCATAAAACAAATTTTAATAATGTGATGGGAGGCCTAACAAAAAACCAAAAAAGAGATTCTTCCGGACAACAATTAAAGAAATGCTGGATACGAAAAGTTCTAGTAACTACGGACGAATTAGTCGCTTTTAACCTAGCAAAAATTTCTCATTTAGTAGGCAAATCTTCCGCAACAAAGTGGAATTATTTCAAATTACCAGATATAACAATGCAAGCGTCTCTGCCATATCGTTTCATGGATCTATAAGCTGCATCACTAACTGCAAAAGCATGCGGCGGCCTTTCGTATATTTCCCGATTTTTGTAATCATCAACTATTTTTTTATCATATATTGGAAGTTGCCTGTATGGATTTACTGCAATGAGAACTTCGCCAATATAAGTGTAGATACGTCCCTTCGAAAACCTTCAAGTTGAACAAGTATTTAAATAATAGCGCAGCAAAATTACACAAAAAAAAAAAAAAAAAAAA